ATAATATATATATATATATATATATATATATATATATATATATATATATATATATTCTTATTCTTTTTGTTTATATATTTTCATTTATAGTTTATTTATATATTTACAATTTATTTACATATTTATTTATATTTTTTTATTCATAATTTCTAATACTTCCCTTTTTTTCCAGCATCTATAGCATATGCAATAATATCACATGGATTACTATATATACTGTATATGATAATGTTATTAATCCTACAGTAACGGATTACTTCAATGATAAACTTATTAATGATATGAAATTGCCGTCTTTTCAAGCGATATTACAAATAACCATAACATTTCTTATTCTCCTATAGCACTTTATTATTTAAAAATATTTTTTGCAATGTATTTTATTATATTTCAAACAAATGTCTTTTTTGTCTTCTTCACTTATCATTCCATACCCATACCTCAAAGTGTCGGAAAAACTCCGGAATTAGAAAGAATGAAGAAGAGATAGATGATACTGCTGCTATAATGTGTTGCAAATGCCCCCATCGCGCCTATGTGCTCTGTTAAAGCCGGTAATTGTGATCATATATCTGACTTCATAACTTTGCCCGAGATATCTCTACTCCGGGAAGAAGATCCTGAGCGTCAAATCATTTTGTAAAGATGTGTTTCAATAGGTCGGTGAGTTTTAATGAATATCGGGTAGCATTTGGTCTATAGTTCCCTCTTTTGTTCGTATTGATATTGTCATTGAATTTGTCTTATTGATATTGTGATTGTTGAATTTGTTTCTGCATTATCGAGTTTGAGGAATAATGGTTTAATTACCCAAATCTTAAGATTGAGGAAATCGGCGACACGAAATGTTTAATTAAATTGTTAAAGTTACATAATAATGATCGAATACAAAATTTATTTTAAGTTTTCATATCATTTTTCTGTAGCACATCGTATTTTTGTTTCTTAAATAATTTTTGAAATTTCTAAATTTTTGAAAAAAGAGAATTGAAAAAAATTTTATTTTTCATATATTCTGGAATAAAAGCTTTAATTAAGTAATTAATGATAAATAAATTAATTAAATTTTTAGGATATGATGACTTTTTTATTCCAAACTATACTAATTTAAAAGAAAAAAAAATGAAGAACTTGTTCTTTATTTTACCGATTGCAATGGTTTTCCTAGTTATTGAAATTTTTGCACTATGAAAATGATAAAGTCTCTACAGTTTACTTCGGCAGTTTACTTCGGACTACCGTATACTGACCTACTAAAAGTAATCTATATAATTAACCAAAATAGATCAAAGCAAATTTCATATTTTTCCAAGTTCATTTTTTCTTTTTACAACTCGTAATATTTCCACATTATTTCGTTCGTTAATAAAATTTTAAGGAGATTCAAAAAAAAAATGTCTGTATTTCATTTTTGTTAAAAATGATATGATCTGATGAAATGATCTGATCAATTTGTTTGTGATAAGTGTACAATTTGGTTGATGTATTTGTGATAAGGATGATAATTTTAGAAACAAATTTTATCTAATAATGTACATCTCTTCCTCATCATCGTATCCTTTCATCTTTTTTTTCGTATATGATAGGAAATTGAAAACTTATTTTATTCAATAATAGATGAATGAGAGGAAAATATGCAAACATAATATGCAAAAAAAAGAAAAAATGAGGAATGAAATGAAACGGACGGAGGAGAGATGAAATAATACAATTGTATTCAAAACTTTAAGCATGTTTCTAAAATTCATTATATTTCTAAAAAAAAATGAAGGAAAAGGAAAAAAAAAGAAAAGACAGTGACTGTCAAAATATTTCGAATCTATAATTTTCATTCATTCGTCTTTTAGACACATTTTTTTTTCGCTCTTTTTGTAATGTGAACTTCCTACTTCAGTAACTCCTTCATATGGCTTAGATATCTGATTACGGCATGAAAGTGATAATTGATACTGATTAGCAAAGGTTTTGTAAAATAAAGAAGAAAAAAGAAAGATGGCAAGAAATAACTTAAATATAAAGATAAGAGATAACATCGTAGGTGATCGAAATTCTGGTTGGACCTAACTTATTCACTTCTTACCTAAGTGTGTATTCATGTTCTGCATCTGTCAAGCATAACATGCATTTACGATCAGATAATTCAAATCGATTTTTTCTTTTTTATTAAAAAATCTTCCCTGAATTAATCTCACTTTCACCTAAATGTATTAAATTCGAAAATCGGCTGTTTAAACTCAAATTTTGGCTCTTGTTAAAATAATTAAAAGTAAAATATAATGATGAAGGAAGGTGAAGGAAAAAGAGGAACATGCTTTCGATAAGTGACTTAGAAATAAATAATAGCAGAAATGATTCTAATGCACTCTATTCATAACAATGACATAAAATGATGAATTAAAACGATGAAAAATGAGGAAGAAAAAAACAATTGGCAACATGTCAAAATGTTGTAATCGATAAAGCAATCTTATGAAAAATATATGCACATAGATATATAAGCATAGGTAGTCATAAACCAAATAAATTATATTCAAAATTATGTCTGAAATTTCAAAATATTAAAATTTATTATAAAACGTTGCCTATTTCGAATCAAACTTCAGGCATAATTTTGAAATTTCATATCTTTAATATGACTAGCTTATTTTCCAAGCTTTCCTGAACAAAGTACAAAGTGCGAAAATAAAAGTTGAAGATGGCATTCGCGTCCATTAACAGAACAATAAATTCAATTCGAATATTTCCAACCTAATCAGAAGGCAAAGTAACGGGTCTCACATCCGGATGCATCGACTGTGCTTTTGTATTAGAAGTTAACTTGTCCGATAATGTGGCAGTACAGGAAGACATTGATTCGTCTTCTGAATGCCGCTCAACACAAAATTCGATATATTCCTACAATGTAATTAAAAAATTTCCAAAAATCCAAATATTTTGTATTCTATTCAAAAGATAACAACAACTATAAAAGTCCCACAATACTTTTCGGAAGACAAAGCAATTTTTTGTGTCATTCAGTTATGTAAAAAGATATTTTAATTTCAGGAATATATTACCGAAGAAATCAACAAGTTTTCAGTGACTATTTGGCATAATCAAAAATAAGAAATAAGATCAATGATACCTTGCTGGAATCCGGAAGCTCTTCATCCCCAAGAACAGTCCTCGATTCCTCGCCCATATCACTAAAACCACTCAGTATTTCGTCTCCAACATCATTTTCATTGACAGGAACTGATTCTCCAGCACCAGTAACCATGACTTGCTATAAATGAAATGATATACTTAATTCCTTATTAAATGTTATTAGTCACACTGGATAATGTTTTATGTTAAAAGGTAATGTGAGTAATAATGATTTCAGTACACTTTAGAAAAAGTCATTTCCGTATTGATAGCCAACGACGAGATAATTAAGCAAAGAATGAGCTAGAAAACAAAACAATCTGGTTCCTTCATTCGTCTATGAAAAAGCATGAAATATATAAATGGTCCATCATTGAAAAATCTCGAAAATATTTGAATTAGAATTTGTGGAACATAATAAAAGAAAAAACTCGCACTTCTTCATATTCCTTAAAAATATCATTCTGTTGACGCAAAAAGCTTTCTTTCGCTCTTCGTAAGGTTGTTGTTGGCGTAATTGTTCCATTATACGGTGGTTCCATGTTATCATCATCAACTAAATCGTCATTTTCCACATGGTGACCATTATGTGCTTTGGAAAGATCATTATCACAAAAGTGGCTCTGAAACAAATTGAACTACCAAAATAAAAATTTAAAAAAAACAGCACCAAATAAATTATAGTAGCCTAATATCCGTTGTTTGTCACTTGAACAAGTCCACTGTTTAACTGATGGTTATTTTGCCTTAACACGGCCAATCTACATTACCGATAATAAAATGTTTTACCCATCACTGCAGAAAAAAAAAAATGTTTCACGACATAATGAAATTTGCAATGAGCACTTTTAGCATATACGAACCAAATGCCAAAACCACGGACCCGATTTATTTAAAACAACCCTGGATGTTATGTGAAATTTACCAGAAACTCTCACTTTCACCTCAACCAGAACATGAATTGCTCTTCTGGAAAGTTTGTATTGCCATAAAGAGAAAGAAAACTAAAATGTCATAAATAGAAAAAAAAAGTCAAAAACCTTGTCAGGTTGTGAGGACTCATCCAAATCAATCGCGTCGGTTATTGATGTATATTCTTCATGTCGTCTTGCACGTCTTACAACATCTGTTACACTAAAAAAGAAAAGAGAAAAATCTGAGATTAAACACTTAAAAAAGACCTACATCTTTTCTCAAACCAACTAACCGAGAAAATAAAATCTATAAAACCGCGACAAATTGATCTGCTTTCTCAATAGATTTTAAATAACAGTATCGAACAAAGGACAATAAAGACACGATATTTATAACTTTAATAATTACTAAAAGGAAGAATATGATTTTGAGTAAAGAAGACTGCTTTGAATTGGAGGCAGTGGATAGCTCAAGTTTAAAAGCATTTAGGATACAATAACATTCTAAGGACAGATCATCTATGGTGTTTTTTTGCTGAATACAGTGAAAAGTGATAAGAAATCACCACAAACTCCTCTTCCTGATCGTAGAATTATCGTTTCCACGATTCAACACAGCTGGATTCAAAGACAACAGACTTCCAAAACGACCAAAACCAATACTACAAATAAATTACAAACTTCGTTGGAAATCTCAAATGAATTTATAACGTAGCGCTTCATTTCTGCTTTTACCATTATGACAATATTCATCTATGAATTCTGATTAAGGACAATGTTCAGTAAGAACTTCTTGCCGAAGATGTTAAAATTAATAGTTATATTCAAATTGTCGATACAATGAAATTTCATGGTATCGGCGATTTGAATCGAATATTAACAGGACGCATTTAACTTGGTTGTCGAAATAATTTCATCGTTGGTATCATCTGTTTCATTCTAACGAAACATTTACCCATTATTTTACTATTGACGTAGTCAATATAAAATGCAGGAAGCTCTTTTACGATTTGAACAGGAATACATCCTTAGCATACCTTTCCGTTTGTGAACTAGCATGAACTTCGACACAACTCGTTACTGTTGTTGTACGGGCACGTTTTCTTCGGCCAGCCGGAGGAGCTGGAAAATTTATTCAATTACTTTTTCAAATGCCTACAAGACAACTACCTCATAATTATTAAAATATTCACATGGAGAAATCAAAAATGATAAAAATAATAAAGGAAATTCACATCATCTCTTTCCACTCTCATCAATCTTATTTCTTCTAATCATTCCCCATTCACAACCGCTACAATTAGTGGGTGCCACTATAATAGTTTGATGATAATTTTAAGCACTTCATTCATATTTCATAATTCACTGGATATAAGCAGTATATCAAACCTTAACGTTACCAACCATAGAGGACAAAACATTCATGCGAAAAAGTTCATAAAGTTTAATTATTATGTAATAAAACAGTTACATTTACGTAACACGTATTGTTGAATTAGGAGGCAATTGATAAAAGAGTGATAATGACGATACCGATACAACCAAAAATAGTTTCAAAGCCATACCACGACTAGTAAAGTTGTTATCTTCTTCTTTCGATGAATTTCTGCAGCAATTCCCCAAAGACTCAGTTTCTAACTGAAAAAAATTTAGTACTACCCTCAGTTAAATTTTTCTATGACTCTCATTTTATTCAGTGTTTCAGAAGCACGGAAAAAATAAGGCCTAAAAAAAATCAACATAAGGATATCATTCTTCACTTATTTTTGATCAAACTACTTGCTAATTGCAACATATGCGAAACTATATACTTATTGAATTACAATCAAGCTTTACTATTCAAGGAGATAATAATGAAAGAAGGAAAAAAATCACCCTTTCCTTTCTTGATAAGTAATCAGTTTTTGAGAGATTTGTTAAATCTGCAGTACCCGATATATTCCCATGACCACGTTCATCCGTAGACGAGCTGGACTGCAACGATGACATAGGACAACTGTTGTTGCTCTGCCGTGATACTTTTGGGAACAGATACGGTGCAGCATTAGCTATTTGGCGCATATAATCAAGCATTTCGTGCTAAAAGTTAATGGAAACTTTTACTCTTACTAACGCTGAAAAATCTGAATGCAACTTATTTTTTGCGAAATTTATAATCAAATTAATCACGTCAACGTGAGAAACGAAAGTGATAAAGAACATGCATGTCGAAACACAAATACATATGGAAATGATAGAGAATAAGCAATGTTGAAATACGCATATATATATACTTAGACAACATCTTATGAGTTGACTTATAAATGCAGTAATACCATAGACGAAGAGGATGAATTGAACAAAACGATTTTATGATAAAACATCGTAAGCTTACTTCGAAGTAGTGTTATACCCGATCTAGTTGGGAATTTTCGAAAATTAAATCTACTATGAAATGTAAACAAACTTGTCTGCTTTCTATGATCTCCATACGACGATCCAAATCACGTACTGTTGTTTTGAGGATTGACTCCTTACTTGCGAGATCATTTAATCGAACAAGTATGAGATCAGTTCTGAAGAGAACTGATAATAATGATAACATGTAAGATATTAAAGGAAATGATTTGAAAAGTGAAATTTCATAAAAATGAAGTGAAATTTCCAAAATCTGTACAGTACATAAATTTTAAGCATTACAAAATGTCGTTTTTTTTTTTGCAAACTTCCAAATTACGAAACAATAGTTAGTTCCACTAACAAAAATTTGCATTAAATTTAAGAATACAAGAAGACAGGAAATTTATTTTCCAATTGATTTCATATGAAATACATATAGTGATAATCTTCCCAAGAACATCAAGATTATTTAGTGCATCACAGTGTTAGTTAGGAATGTAAAAGTAGACTAAATCTCCAGAAATTAACGTAATTATTGATTAAATAAGTAGCAGGTTATCCAAATTTGTTTTTTGAATCGATTGATAATTCTATCATTGAGTAAATTAAAATAAACGATATATTTCTGTGAATCCAAAAATTGATTCTAAATCGTACAATTACGTCAGGTATATTAATATTAGAAATTCGAAACTACAGTTCTTTTTCCAGAAGTAGAAAAAGGAACGATTTAGACTGTAGAGTCATGAATATATATAAACACATAAGTTTAACAGCTTAACAGAATATTAAAAAGCTATAAACCTCTTCGGAAAAGTTTGCTTAGAACCGCATCCTATTCGAATAATCTTAATCATAGCAAGGAAAAAAAAGCAACTTAATACTGTCAATGATGAAAAATAATACAATATCAATAATATTACCTATCTGCAGTTCGATGAATCCTTTCTTCTGTTGATGTACTCCTCTCATAGTCTTTTTCACGAGCTAAATCTCCCATACATTCTTCTTCAAAATCATGTATTTTTTCCACTTGATCAGCATCCAGAAACAACTCTATAAATTTCAAGAACAAATCAAACAGAGAGAACTAATCTCTCAAATGACACTAACATTAAAAAATTCATGAGGACTAGCTAAAAGCATGCATGTACAGATCTTCTATTGAAAGTGATCTTAATAAATATGCAACGAAAAGGAAAAAGGCTGAAATTGAGTGTTTTATGAGTTAACTAAGTTTTTTCGAAAGAGTTTTCAAGAATGAAAATGATAACTCAATGATTTTTTTACATCCTTAAATTCATGCATCAATTTATAATGTTATATTATTTTATCGGCGATTGACATAACAGAAATGTCATCTCTGTACCATTATCTCAAACTTTTGATATGGTGCAGGACTAAGGGGACTTACTTAAGGCGAAATCAAAAAGCTTCGAATTCGTCTTCCTCGCAAGCTTTGAATTTGCTGTGCACTTTCTGAAATATCGTATTATCCTATAACGTATCGGTCAAAAATTTTTCTATGACAAACTTTTGTCTGATCCGGAAGAAGTAAAGTCTACAATCTTAGTTCTATCGAAAATAATAATGACCCACGAATACTTCTTAAACAATAAAATCTTTATTTAAATAACTTAATAACACTGCTTTATCAAATTATTTATTTGTTATAAAACAATAACCAATATTATCCCCTTAAACAGCCATTCTTTATTAGAAGAAAACCATAGAAAGAAAAAGCGAAGCGCAAATCTTTTTTTCGAATATATGTTACCTTTTAGTCTTGATGCATTTGAAAATCATCCACAAATAATAGAGAGGTGTAAGGGGAGGAGGAAGAAAAGGTGTACTTTCATACTCCATAACTTGCCGATAACGTTGGAAAAGCCAAATTTCCTTCGAAACTCGATCCGTTTTTTCAAAAATGTTACTGTAAACAGGAAGAAGACAGTTAGCCTATTTACTGGGCAAAGTGACTGAAAAACAATCGAATTTTACATTACTACTTAATTTACTAATGTATATTTGACGTGTTGTTTCTGTAAAAAACAATTCAAATAAGGTAATACAACAAACTTGAAAATTGCCAAAAGCATGCTCATCAATAAGATGTTTGCAATGAGCAGGAAACCTGTCATCAACAGTGGCGGTACCCAATATCCATGCGGACAACTTTGATCTAGAACACTAACCACTTTTAAAGAATGAACACGCAATAGATATTTAATTTCAAAGGATTAAACAAAAAATTAGGTCAGTGATAATAACATTGTGTCATTTCAAATACTAACCAAAACGTGTTCCATTATACAGATCATTGATGGCTACGCCTTTCGCAATATGTGTGTCCCAAGCTGAAAGCACAATCATCTTTTTAATGATAACCTATACGCTTCAATTATCACTCATTGGAATAATTAAAAAATAAACAATCTTGTCATAAGGAGTAGTGTTGTTTTGAAAATTGAACAAAATTTGGATCGAAAAAAAAACCTCCATCCCCACACGTATCAATTTCTCCAGCATATACTTCTCCGTAAAGCATGAAATATGGCTTATAAAAGATATTTCGTAAAAGAAGCCAGTGCCAGCTTTCATCAGGATAAGTGATTGACTGTCGAGCCAAACCGAATGCCAACATTGAAACAAACAACAGTACGATGATGTAGAGCATATTTTGGATCTACAAATTTTTTTTAAAAAAAAGTAAAAAAAACTTTGCCTCAAAATACCGGGTAAATGATAAGTATTCTCGTCCGTACATTCCACATTGTTGAAAGATTTCGATTAGTAAAAATGAAATAGAACTGTGCTAAAGATCAAAAAAGGCATTTTAAATAAACCAATCAGTCTTGAAGCTACCATTTTTCCAGCCATAGTGATATAAGGTCCCATACGAGGATGTACACTTATAAAATCCAACAATTTAATGGACCAAAGCATCGAATTACATGCCAATATTACCCTTCCAACTGCTCTAAATATAGGACATGAAAAAAGATGTGAAAATCATTCAGTAAAATTTGGTAAAGATGATTTTATCGATTACGTTATCAATGGATGTTTACCTTATTGACTCATGCTTTGCATCCAATCGTAATCCAAACCCAATTAAATATGTTGTGACGGCTAAAGTTGCCAATAAATTCCAGGTATTATTGAAAAAATACTTGGCTTTTTGAGCAAGCGACTCTGGTTCTGACATAATGAACTGAAACAGAATTGTTACTAAAACCATTCACTTTTTATACCAAGATCTCTACTCGATTATATTCTGATTTTAGAAAGTCTTTAGACTTTAGAAAGTCAGAATATAATGAAGAGAAATTTTAGAAAGTCAGAATATAATTAAAGAGAAATCTTGACAACTTAGAGGCGAACGAAGAACAAATCTCATTAGCATCTGACAACTTAATTAGTAAGTGTATTAAACAGAATTCACGGAACTCCTATAACTTTGAATTGTAATTTCAATCCCAATTAAAAAAAAAAAAAAAAGAAAAATGAACGACGTAACCAATCAGAATATAACAGTTAAGTGCTTCAAATTTTATGAAATTCGACAGTACATCGATGTAATACGAATTGCAAATAGTTTTCTTCAAACAAAACTAACCTTGCGCAAATGTTCTAAACCAAATACAACAACATATGCAAACACAAGCCACTCCAACCATGTTGGCCTGATCATTGTTCTAACCAGTAATACATAAGCAAAGCAACATAAGAATACACAAAAAGTAATCGCCCACGCCCAAAACGTTGTTATCGGCGCTACATAAAATTCATACAATTTCCGACGAAATTTGATAGGTCTCTGAAACATTTCCAATTAAATACTTTACATTAAAATTTTCACCTAACACTCTTTATTTTTCACCTAACAAGGCCAACTGTGATGATGGATTGATATTGCAACAAATCGTAGTTTAAAATAAGCTAATCATCATTTAATAAAAGTAACTGCTTATTGATTTATCAAAGTATATAAGTAGATAGTAAAATTAAGAAATTAAGAAGTGATTTTATTAGTAACAGTTGTGATTTGGAGTTTAACTAAATAAAATCTGACAAAAAATACAAATATTCAAGTACCAACCATGTGATGGACGCTCTGTCCGGCTATTGTAACCATTCTGGAAAGTGATGGAGGTGCAGACTTATTGCCATGATCGCATGTATCGAATTTACGTTGCAAATTTTTACCTTTCACTATCCCACAAACACAATTTGCTAGCGATCCACAAGTTTCCCGATGAATAATACGTTCTTCTAAAATTTTGAGTAATTTGCATGCATAATGTATGTAACTTATGAATACTGGAAAAAACTTAATTAATCAGGCAAAGTAATTAGCACACAAGAAAAAGTATCTGGTAAGTTTTCTCTTAAATATCTTAGGTCAGTATTTCAAATCTCAAGAATAAATTTGAAATTTTTAAGATAATTTCAGGAAAATTAACAAGTGTGTTGCACAAATATTCAGCAGTCTTGATAATCGCAAATCTGAAGACTGATGCGAGATAGCACAAAGCTAAGATAAAAATTTCATTTATCTAAGACAGGTTTCTTCCACTTATCTGGATAAGAAATGTGAAAAGACGTAAGCAAAGGTGATTTAAAAGTAATAAATATGCACAAAATTACTTTTATTTGCGGAAAGTTGCTTCGGCGGCGTTTTACGTGGCGTAATTCCAGCTTGTTGCTGTTGACTGACTCGACTTTTAACAGATGATATCGAAGCGCTTCGCGCGTGACTTCCAGGAGAACTGAATATAGCTCCTAAAATAAACCCAAAAAAAAAGTTTCACTTTAATTTAGCAATAAAAGATACATAGTGGTACTAGAATCTGATGACGGTGAAAACGAGATAAATAAGACTGGTAAGATACCACATACTGCATTTATTTATGAAATGATTAAAGAATATTTAAAAGACTTATTTTTTTATTTCAAATTACACAAATTCAAGTGCCGAAAGAAAATAAACCAATAATTAATAGTTTTAACAACAGCATAATTTTTTTCTCTTAAAATTGCTTTAACTAAATATCACTAACAGTGCCGACTACCGTTCCATGGCGAATGAGACAGTATTAGAAAAAAAAACTCTACACGGCAAATCTCGTTAAGTACAGTGGTACATATTCCGAAAAATGGATGTTTTTTTTTTCCTTGTGCCTATAAGAATGGATAATGTACTCCATAGACAGGCTGTTACGAAAAAATTCAGGGCAGTCTGTCACCTGGGAAAATACTCCGTAAGACGATTATCAGTTAACTAATCCATCACTAACTTGATAACTTAAATATTACTAAAAGCAGAGAAAAACAGCTCCGTAACGATCATTTTTTTTTTTTTTTTTTTTTAAAATATAAGTAATGCAATCGATGTGCTAGGCTTTAATGAATAAATTAGAAACAAATGGCAAATGACAGTAGTAAAAGCCGGAAGATCATTACTGTGATGTACCTTCAAGTATGTCTATTAAAAAAATTCATCTAATTGTTCATTTCTGTTTTGAATCGGTTTTTCAAATCAATTACTGGAATTAAACAAATTAACAGTTAACATTTTAAACAATTTACCTGCACCATTGGTGGCAGCTAATGTATTAACATTAACAATTTCGATAACTTCATGTGGTGACGTTACATTTCCACCATTTGACACAGAACTACCGTCTTTGAGATGAGGTCGAATGCGTTTTCGTCTACTCTGAAACAGCTTAAATAAATAATAAAAACGGTTTGAAATAATATGTTTCAAAATAGCAACTTTCTTCCAAATATCCTACACGTCTTCATGTTTTTTTTTCAATACGACGGCACAAATGTGCAACATAACGCATATGTGTTGCGATATGGAACTTGATCAACAGCATATGCCATCCTTCATCAAAAGATCTCTAACACACTTAATGACTGCGTCCAAGTGAGTAAATAAAAGTTAAACTGATTTTCTTATGGTATTTCTTTGTAATAGCAATCGGTCCTCGGCTTTAAAACAATCAAAAATACTTTCACTACTAGTTTGGGTCATACAAACTACCGATGAGAAAATATTTGAATTCGACTGCATGCAACTTTTGTAAATATTTCAATTCCGATGAATTTTCTGAAAAAAATTTACGCCAGCTAAATTCACTGATTGTGCACTTTCTGTTGAATTTCTTCGCCTTTCTCCATCTTGCTCATTCTGAAAACAAAATTAAGAACAATGACAAACTGTTTTCAAGTTATTCACATGGTGAAGTCGAAATCCATACATCTTGAAGCTCATCATCCGAACTGAAATCCGAATCTGATGATGAGTCAGTCCCGGAACTAGAACTAGAACTGGAACTATCATTGAGGTCATTTTCATGCTCTGCTGCAGTTTGTGGTTGTAGCAACAATTCTTCACGTGATTTGAATTCCAACAGAAATATGGTCAGCGGGCAGAATAAACCAAACAACACTTTAAGATTGGAATGACTGAAAATTCTCGATAAAACTTTTATCAATTAACGAAAAAAAGAGGACAAAGAAGACTGAAAAAAAAATCTTTCCAGTGCTTTTAGATTCCGCTGCAATGTGAAGTAAAGTGAAATACTATATAAATTTGATAAATCAAATGTTTACCTAGAACCTCACCCCATGAATATACTAACTGTTCGTAAAACAGTGATAAATTCTCTTTAAGAATTAAAAAAGAAGATTAGGGACTACCTGCGCATCCTTAAACCGCCATGCCATAAATCAGCCAATAAGATCTGACAACTGAAAGATATCAGAAAGATCAATGAAAAATATAAAATTACCATCTCCAATCGAAAGCACTGCTTAAACATTTTTCTGGTGATGGGCTTACCGAATATCTATCGATTATATATTTCGTAACACCAAATTTCATTTAGTTTCTAATCAAGTCATTAATAGTATTTGTCATTTTCCAATAAAACTTTGAAAAAAGAAAAGTTCCAAACTCTTACCATGGATGGGCCAAAAATTGTTTATTATTGACCATTACGGCAAGTGAAAGACACGTTTCATTCCCCCAACTGATTAATTCATAAGTAAGCAACTGAAGAGTTTGTGCATCGTCATGGTTGTAGCAGTGTTCCAATAATGACAATGAAAGTTTACGGAAATCCCTTTAAAAGAAGTAATTAATATTTGTTGTACTGAGGCAACAATATTCATTTGAGGTAGTGTAACGTTGACGTGATGTAGATGGCCTAGATACAGCACATGAAATACCAACTTCCGTAACGAATACTCCGCATGAGTTTTTATTGTACACATGACGAATTTCAAATCCTAGTTAATTTATTTGGCTCAGCATAACACGATTTTTTTTTCTCTTTTTAATTAGTAAACAATCCTGACTTATAATAACAATCTTGAAGGATCAAATTTAAAGGTTTCAAATCCAAATTAGCAATTACTTTTTGTAACAAATGTCACTGAAATATATCTGGAATTTAAAGATTATGATAAATGCTCTGTTGAATGTCCTAATATTAACACTATAACTCCACATGAAGATTTTCAATGAAGACTTAAAAGCATCCATAAAGGGTGATCCTGAGTATATCCTTAACTACGTAGAAGAACATTATTTCAGTTGAGGCAGTGTAAAATCGGGGG